ACAGTGTCGTTGTCAACAAGCTATTTGGCAATAATCACGGATACGGTCTTATCCCCATTACTTTTGACTGGACAGTTGCCACTGGTTTCATTGGATCACCCCTCATTCCGCCTTTCTACGCTATTGTCAACGTGTTGGGAGGCATCATTTTCTTTTTCGTCATCGTTTCTATGGGTATTCACTTTAGTGGTACCTGGTATTCCGACTACATGCCTGTCCAGTCGTCAACATCCTACGACAACACCGGAGCGCCTTACAACGTGTCTCGCATCCTGGATGCCAACTTCAGTTTCAACGAGACTGCTTACAAAGAATACTCTCCTCTGTACCTGTCTACGCAGTTTGCCATGGCGTATGGTATGAATTTTGCTGCCATGTCCGCGGTACTGATTCATGTTGCTTTGTACCACGGTAAGGAGATTTGGAGACAGTTTAGAATGGCGCGCCATCAAGAAGACGATGTCCACATGCGCTTAATGAAGAAATATCGTGATGCTGAGGATTGGTGGTATGCTGGTAAGTGCTTCATGGCGATCCTTTGATGCGCAAAACATCGGTTTTTGTGTAAAGCAAACGCTAATCGTTATTTTTCCTAGCTTTGTTCATCATCATGGTTGGCGTTTCTTTCGGCGTCGTCACTGGTTGGCCAACTGGTTTTCCTGCCTGGGCGTTTGTCGTCTGCCTCCTTCTCCCCATCATTTGGCTCATTCCCATTGGTCTGATCCAAGGTATCTCTAACATCCAAATTGGTCTGAACGTCTTAACCGAATTTATCATCGGTTACATGGTTCCTGGTAAACCCATGGCGATGATGATGTTCAAAAACTATGGTTACACTTCCATGTCTCAGGCGTTGTACTTTGCCCAAGATCTCAAACTCGGCCATTATATGAAGGTGCCGCCCCGGGTCATGTTTTCGTCACAGCTGGTCGCATCGATTTGGTCCGCCATTATTCAAATTGGAGTTATGAACTGGGCCTTGGCGAAGATCCCGGATATCTGCACAGACAATCAAAAGGATAGCTATACTTGCCCCAGCGGGCATGTGTACTATACCGCGTCGGTGATTTGGGGTGCTATTGGACCAGCGCGGATTTTCAGCCATGGCGCTACCTATGCGAACCTGCAATGGTTCTGGCTTGTCGGTGCCGCCACGCCTATTCTGACTTGGATTTTTGCTAGACGATGGCCCAGGTCTTTTTGGAGATACGTCTGCACTCCCGTCATCTATGGCGGTACCGGGTTACTGCCTCCCGCTACTGTCCACATTTTCCTCTGCTGGGGTGTGGTCGGCATCATGTTCAACTACTTTGTTAAGCGCCGCTATACTGGCTGGTGGCTGCAATACAACTACATTGTTTCTGCAGCTCTGGATTGCGGCCTCATCATCAGCACCCTCCTCATTTTCTTCACCCTGTATCTGACCAATGTGAGGGCTCCAGCATGGTGGGGGAATGATGGCATGACAGAAACCCTCGACTGGAATTCCCAGGCAATTGCGAAGCGTGTGGCACCTGGCGAATTTTTCGGACCTGCAGTCTTCCCTTGAACCTAGAGAGACCGTTGAGCGCAGAAGAAGATGACAAAGGAAAGCATTAAAAATTTAGAAACAGGTTCCGGTTTAATGAATGATGAAAACACGAGCGAGTAAGCAAAATCTGCATCACCGCCTGGAGGAGGCCATGTGTCGTGGATTTCATATTTATATTTTGAACATTCTTGAAGATACTTGACACGTGTATGACTTTGGTTTTTGGATGGAAACGGCGTTCAGGATCATGGGAGGCTTGGTTCACATTGGATGTAACAGTCGTTGGGGCTTGCGGAAGCACAGCCTTTGCAGAGATACCTCATTAATGAATTGCATAAAAAGCGAAGGTGCGAAAAGTGATTATGTGGTAAATGCGGAGCTCTGTACACGCACGCACGTCACCAGGTAACTAGATTGGTATGATGTGTGATGGTGAGCGTGGTAACCAGTAGAAGTAGCGTGTAAAAGAATACGTGTTGATGGATGAACAAAAACGTCGTGCTTGTATCAATTTGACGTAGCTTGAAGCCAAGGGGCCAGGATGAATCCATTTGTCGGCCTTTTTGGTGGGTCAGGCACAGCCCATCAGGCACAGCCACCAGCCCGAGTGAATCTGTTTGGTGGAGTCACGTGCATTTACTCAGGGTACCGTCACATGATCTAGCTGGTCAATCCCACAAGCCTCACGAAGCGTATTATTGTGTGCGCACCGCGCCAAATTAGGGCTAAGCAGCAGCCCCAGCGCTCAGATTCTCGCAATTCGACACTCCACCGAAAAAGGCCTCTCCCCCAATTCGAGAATTTCCTCGATCGTCACTAACCACAGGTCAAACCACCACCGCCAAAATGAGTACGTTTCTGCTCCCTGCCAGCTGCTGATGTAGCGTTCAATCTCTTCTTCTTGCCCCGAAAAGAATGAAGGGATGAAGTGCCACGACTACGACGTTGGACTGCTTGCAGTGTGCTAACGGGTTTTGCGTCGTGTAGCGAAGGGTACCTCCAGTTTCGGTAAACGTCACAACAAGACGCACACCTTGTGCCGACGATGCGGTCAGTGATGCCTTGCACTTATTTCCACCTCAAGAAACTGCCTAAGAGACCGGAAAGAGGGGGAATCATCGAGACACCACCAGGAGAAGAGAATGGCGGGGACGAGATTACAAGTTCAACCGCATGCTCGGCAACAACAACGTTGGATTCGGATTCGGTCAAGGCAGTGTCAAATCCACAACAGACATTGAAGCTAACTGGGTGATTCGTAGGTCGCCGCTCCTTGCACATCCAGAAGCATGAGTGCTCTTCTTGCGGCTACCCTTCCGCCAAGACTCGCAAGTGTACGTTTCCTCGCTCCCTCTCTGGTCCCACGAGCAGACTCTCGCAGCCGGTTGAATCCTCAATGGGCGTTTTCCGTCAAAACGACACGAGCTGCGAGAAAAGTAACATCAGGAAGCATGGACAATTTGCTAACAGACCAAAAAAAAAACAGACAACTGGGGCGAGAAGGCCAAGCGAAGAAAGACTGTTGGCACCGGCCGCTGCCGCTACCTCAAGGACGTCTCTCGCCGATTCAAGAACGGCTTCCGAACCGGCACTCCCAAGGGCGCTCGCGGCCCTACCACCAAGTCTGAGTAAACCAAAACAACCTGTCAACCATTGCCCCAATCAAACAACACATGGAACAATTTTTTCACGACTTGACGAAACCAACGTGGAAACTTTGAGGAAGAGGTTACAAAGACATTTGGGAGGCCTATCATGAAGAAAAACGAGGGAGACCACTACGGAAGCATGTTTTTGCATTGAGGACGAGAATTAAGGGGGAGTCGCACTTGATCCTGTTCCTGTTCCGGAGACGACATCTTGGTCACGCGCTGTTGTCGTACTCTTTTGGTGTGGAGATGAAGGAGAGGAGCCTACGTACTGAATTGACTCTTGTTGCAAAGCGGTCATTTCGTGCCGGGGGGGTTTTGCGGAAAATTTTCTCAAAGGTGGTGGTGGGCTGGAGCATGGGACCACGGTGTTTTTATTGAAACGTATTTGGCATGGGGACGTCCCTTTGCTTTGTGCCTTTTTGAGAGAAGAGTAAAATAAACAAGGGATTTCCATACGCCTGCCTCGCGATAGTCTGCACGTCGGCCCAGGGCACCAGTCGGACTGCGTGTGTGTGCTTGCATCTAGTTTTTCATTCGTGTGTTTGTCTTTGCAGAAGGGCCCTTTTTGCAAGCTTTGACAACAGCCAGACTTGCCCACGTCGTGGCACATCCCAGGATGACACTGACGAAACTGCCATCTCGGCCCACGAAGCCGCTGACGTTCATGAATGATCCATCGCACCGCGCGCCACAAGACACGCTCCTATCAGGAGACTCATCAAAACAAACAGAGTCCCCGTGTTTTGCACTAGACCATGTTCCCCTTTATCCAGGATTCTAGCATCATCATGCTTCGTAGTACTATCCTAGCGCAACCACCAGCTTAAAGCGGAAAGAAAATAGACGTTCCCAGCTAAGGTTTGCGCAATGAGACCATCCACCAACAAATATCAGGACACATGCGGTCTCTGTAAAATGTGGCTGGGGCCATGGCCAGAGAAGCCGACGAGCATCTCGAGCGGACGAAAAGACAGGCACGACAGAGCAAACCTCTGTGCCTCCTCACAAACAACTAGATGCGCCTATTTAACCCTACGCGTAAAAATTTCAAGCATAAATCTCCTTGGCCAATGTTTCTGCTGCGGCCGACGACACGATGCCTTCTGAACAGCACACAACCGCAAGCACCGTCATAAAATATCCCGATACTCCCCGCAAGTCACAGCACGTCCGGGGGACCGCAGATTCAAGCAGCCAAGGCACCTTGCCAGACGCGCAGCAAAGCCACGGGAGGCTGTTTGGAAAAGTCCAACCCCACGGGGCCATATACCCGGGCATAACTGCGAAAGGAGGTTGATGCCGTCACCACAACTCTGCAGACTCCTCGCCCCCGTAGACGCCGCCCTGTAGCCTCGCGAAACCAAGCCACGAGACGGACTCCGCATACATGATATCATGTAGACCGCTACTTGGCAAGATTGAGCGAGATGGCTAGTATTCTAACCAGCCCCCCCGGTCAAGCTTATACTTTGGGAGCACTGCGCACTTTGCGTCATCACCAACCCCTAGATGGATATGCTGGTCATGTATTGTTCTATGAACAACTCTGCTGCTGAATAAGTTTTCCCCTGGCTCAGCCGTGGCACACAAATCTTGCGTGGAAACCCGATTCTACTTGTCTTGTGGGACGCGATACATGGAGACACGGGTGACAGGGGAGGGAAAAGCCAGGGTATAATTTCTTCAATTTGGTTACAAAATACAAAGTAAACTCAAGCCCTTCCAACTACTCGAGAGAAGCAAAATCCTCCCAATCACCACCCGAGTACTTTGGGCATGTCGTGCAAAGCACACAGTAAAAAAAAAAACACACGCACTTAAGCCGTGGTTGATGGCTCAGCGAGCTCGATCGATATAGGTACGGTAGTGTCAGGAAGCTCCGTCGACTCAGCTTCGTCGGTAGGCTCAGGAACTTCGTCGGTAGGCTCAGGAAGCTCCGTCGACGCAGCCTCAGTAGTCTCAGAAGGCTCCGTCAACATGGTCCCGGTGCTCTCAACCTGAGCAATAGTCAGGCAGCTCACTTGGGTGATTGTATAAGTGTAATCCGTGGGATTAGCCACCGTGACGCGAGGAGCATACGTGGACTGGGCCGTTGTCCAGAAGAGCGCACAAGTCCCGCAATCTTTCCAGAGCACGCTGGTGGTGGTGATGGCGGGTTGCTCCTCGAGTGGTGAGGTTGGTGATGGTGCCTCGCTGTGTTCCGTCTTGCTGCCCTTGCCCTTGCCCTTGTCCTTGTCCTTGTCCTTGCCCTGCTTAGAAGTGGTTGAAGGGGGTGTCACAACGGCCGGGTGCGTCGCTCCAACGACCGTCGTCGTCTGGGTGCAATCCGGCGAGGAGACGTATGGCGGGAACGCTGTTCCGGGTCCCAAATCCAGGGCCGTGGACAAGTCCGGCTCGGCACTGGGCGAGACCGTCGTGGCCTTGGTCTTGGTCTTGAACTTGGATTTTATGGTTTTGACGTGTTCGCTGGGCCTGGCAAAGGAGCTCTTGCATGAGTCGTTACACGTCTCGAGCGGCGACACGACTTCGCCGTTGTCCAACGTCGTAGGCCTGGGCGTTGTCTTGGCTGCTTGAACGGCCACGAGGGCCGAGAGGACAACAATGGCCTTCATGATTTTTGGGGGAGGGAAGATTTGGGATGGGAAGGAGTAGGTTGGAGTAACAATGGTCAAAGCAAAAGGGAGGCAAAGAGCTGAGATTTATCGTTTATATATACATTTCTTGCTGAGAGCAATGATGCATGTTTGTTTATTTAAAAGGTAATTTCGCACGCATCATCGGAAGAATCTAGTTTCGCGTTAGTTGTATTATACCACCGAGACTCATGAAGTCTAGACTGAGAGGAAAACATGCCGGACGGGGAAACCTAGTCAGGGGCTGTCGAGACCCAGCGCTTGAGGATGCGAGAATGTTGACGTATTGTGTTTGAATATGACATCTTTTGGGAAGTAGTAAGGAGAATTGAGAATCAGTATCGTCCTAATACGTACCAAGTGGTTCTTCAGGGGCAAGTCGCGCTATGGCGTGACGCGCGCCTCTCCAAGTTCGGCCGCCAGGAACCGTCCTGTCTGTCATCAAGCTCTCATCTTCAGGTACCTCATCGCCCTCACCAACATCCAATCCATCTTCCAGAATCACGCCCCCCTCTCAAAGACCCTGACACCGCCATCTCCACCCACGAAATACAGGAACTCACCCTCTCCTTTCCCAGCTTCATCCTCGTCTGCTTTGCCACCGCCAGTCACCCTCACCACACCACTGACATCCCTCGCCGTCCCTGTGTCTAACAAGCGCAGTGCCATAACTATCCTCGCTTCATGTGCGAGGCTCAACGCAAATGCCGCGTGGTCCTTTTCTAGCGTCGTGTTCTGTGCGTGAAGAAGGGGGTCGTCTGCCGAAATGGCCACTACAGTAGCGTGAACTCTCTGTGTAGAGTTAGCTTGGCCTCGGTGGTTTCCTCGACAACAAATCTCCCCTGGTAAATACGGCAAAGGGGATAAATGTAAACTCACCTCTCTCCATGAACTCAACACATTCACCGCGCCCAATGCACCGACCCCTCCCATGGCCAACCACGCATCCATCCCGTCCACCAAAAGCACAACCTTCCTCCCCTCCTTGGAAATCTCGGCAATAGCCTTCTCAACACCTTTCTTCACATCTTCCATCTTCCCACCACGTAGGACGTGGTCCCTCCCGCCACCCGTAGAAGGTTCCCCGTTGGGCACATACAAGCCTGTTAGCCCGTCGACGAAGATGAACCTCTTGCTTCTGTTCACGGCATCCAGGTCCAGGCCCTATGACCGTAATTAGCGTCATTCATTCTGATTCCAACACACCACGGTCGACGAGTAACCGCAATACGTCATCTGGGTAAAATTGAAAAAAAAAAAAAAGTACCATTTTGGCAGCCCCCTCTCTCCAAAACGCGCCATCCCTTAAAAAGCTACACAACACAACGGCCGTAGTGTCTGCAGCTTCACCAGCCTGCTGCCCATTCCTCAGCAGACCATACACCCATCTCAGAACTAGCCAGTTTGCACTGGCTCCCAATACACTGGTAAGAACTACAAGGGCCGCTTCAGGAGGTAAATTGAGATACGGCTCTAGCAAGGGCGGGATCTTGGTCGATGCTGTAGAGGCCATGCGGACTCTGCGAGTTTGGAAATGTGATTTGGCGAGGGCAAAAAGTTGGACCTGTGATTGCAACGACCCTGTGAGACGGCAAAACGGCGTGGAAATGTGACTTATTTGGCTGACTGAAAGAACAGCACCATGGCTTCAAAATTCAGGTGACGGTTGTGAATGAAGAGCTACGACGTGAGGTGAGATGGGATAGGAAGAACGTGGTTGACACTCGAGGTGGGGCGCGTTATACCCATACCCACTTCCACGGCCGACTTACAATGCTCGCAGACATGAATATGAGACTCCACGATTTGTTCATAGCCAGGTCCACGTGGGATTGCCAGTGTGGAGGATATGCCTAATAAACAATATTCATATGCTCTGTCAACATGCCATCCGTGACATCTAGTAAAACTAAATGCAGTGTGTAGTTCTCCATGAAAACCGCGACGCCCGGAAAATCCAATACGACGGAGAAATGCCAGTTACAGATGAACAACCCGGCAAATACAAATGATATCCAATGTAACTCCAACAAGGCGAAATCCCACCAAAATCTATATTCCCAAAGCCCATATTAGCTCCATCTTCCTTTGTACCAAGATGCTACCACCTTGAAATACGCTTGCCAAAATAACATCATCATGCAATATCCTCTATTCCACGCATGTCAAATGACTCGGGGAACGCTCAGCTTCATTCAAAACTTCTCCATGAGGTTCATTCTCACTGTCCACATACGAGCTCTCTTGCCAAATATGAACAAGGGGATCGTGGTGAGCTGGATGAGGAGTTGGATGATTCCCAACCACATGTAGACCTGCTTCGGCCCGTCCTTGGCCATCCAGTGACTAACAAACAGACTAAAAACAAGGCCGTGCAAGACATTCTTGGAAAAATTAAGCGTAACCAGCGCCTCTCCTGCGTACTGACGATAGCTATCGACGCAAAAAGTGATAGCCGTCGTAGATCCCAGAGAGCAACCAAATGAAAGTATGCCAAAGAAAGCAGTTGGGATCATCCAGTGGTCTTTCTCTTGAGCAGACCAGCCGAAGCCCATGAGACCAATGCAGGTTGTGAGCATAATGGGAATGGCCATTACCAGTCGGAACTCAGGTTCGTACATGCCGCCATTACGACGAGACATGGCTCGGACAATCAAATCGCTAATCTTTCCTGCGACGCCTGTGCCGAGGACACCGCCAACAAATGGGGATACATACACAAGGCCGGTTTGGAGCGCACCAAAGTTGTAACTCGCAGGGTCTCGGTAGATAACGGCCATTGTCTCTGATATAACGATTAACCAACCAATCGAGCAGGCGTATACCGCAGAAGACCACAAAACGGCCGGATAGGAAAACAAAATGAATGGACGGATCATAACTTTCAACCACCTGTCGTTGTTGAGCCGGCCATGGTAGGGTCTCAGCTGCTGTGTAAACGTTTGGGCAGGCTGCTGTCGCAAATTATGCGTATACGCCTTTATCCTAGGTGGCGCTCTGAGTGCCGACGCAGGGATTCTTTCATTATCCAGATTTGGGCCTTGTGAGAAATAATCTATATTGGCACCACTCCCGTTCGCACTCTGGAGGTATGGTGAGTGCCCACCTGAACCGTTGTGAGACTGGCGGAGGATGGACCTTGGCGATCGAATTGGGCTATGCGCGGAGCTTGCTCCATCCATTACATGGTGCTCGTCAGAAACGTGCACAAGTGGTACATTTGTATCCACCTGGTTGGGCTCTGCTTCGATTTCTTCTGACTTCTCCCCAGATGCTGACACCGTGATGGAAGGCATTTGACCTTGTACGTTGCCAGGTAAATCTGGACGGTACGTGACATGTCCCTTCTCAGTCTCCCTGGATGTAGTGATTTCGGCATGGTGGTCGGCGGAACCAGGGTGCATATGATCTGTATTGCCTTCACCGTGATGTTGAGATTCACCAGCGGTGGGCGGTTCGGACGCGAAGCCGACATGGAGTCCCCTTTGACGAGTCTCTGCACCAGGAGAGTGAGGCCTTTCGAGAGTCTTTGAGTCTCTCGCAGATTGAGTCGATTGGTGAGGGTTATGTACGTTCCTACGCGAAGAGAGACGGCGAAGAAAGCTGGGGCGTTTTGAGGGTTTCCGCGTAGGTGTGCGATCCCAGAAGGTTTCGGGTACGAAAAGGAAGAGCAGAACGAAGCCTAGACCGGCTACCATTGCGACGATACTACAGGGTTTGTTAATCAAGCGTTGAAGGTAGATACAGAGCACGAAGAAAAAGCAAACTTATAGTTGGTTGAGAGGAAACGTACAAGAACACCCAGCGCCATCCATACCGCCCAATGATGGCAGCGCTCACTAGAGGAATCAAGTTCTTTCCGCCTAATAGTAACAATGTGTAAATACCGATACGATAGGCTCGCTCGTGGAGAAAGAAAATCTCTGCAATTGTAGCCGAAGGAAGGCACTCCACGGGGCTGATAGCTATTCCTTGAAATACTCTGGCTGCGAGCAGAGAAGGGAAGCTGGGAGAGTAGCCTCCCCAAACGCATGTTGCAATAAAGAGAATGACACTACCGAGATATACAGGTCGCTTGCCAAAAAGGATGGCGGTTGGAGAAGCGAAAACTGAGCCTACACCAAGGCCCATCATGTATAGACCGACCGTGAGAGACACTGTTTCGACTTCGACATCCATATCATGGGCAATGTTGGTAAAACCAGCGGCCATGATGGACGTAATGCCACCGCCAATCATGCAGTAAAAGCCCAGTGACAACAAGGCAGTATCTCGTCGCCAGCTAGGCCAGTTCAACGGGTCGTTGACGGAGTCCTCGGGTTGAGGATCGAGAATAATGGCACCATCCTGTGTTTTCTTCTTCCCTTCATGTGGATCAACATGTTTCGTGGCAGCCGGAGTCTGTATGACAGGACGTGAGCCTCCTGGGGTCAATGGCATGTCGACAAAAAAACCCGTTGGAATAGATGAATGAGAGGTCCTGGCATGCACATCACGCAGACCAAGAGGCTCATTGCGGTTAGCGGCTAGGAGTAAAACAGAGCCTGATTATGGACATCAGCAAGTGTAAATATATGTACACATATTTTTCTTTAAAAAAGAAATTGACTGCAGATACAAGAACGCATTCTTACCTGGAACCTCAACGGTCTCCTTATCGTTGAGCACACCAAAACTCCATTTCGAGTGGCCAGACACTTGCTTCTCATGTTTGCTACTGTCGCTAGCTCTCGCCCCAAATAATCGTTTCCAAGGGGAGGTAGTCCCCTTTAAGTCTTCTGAGGTAGATGACATTATGTCAACCGTCTTCAAGGGAGATATTTACGCAGTCTTCGCGTACGCGCCGCACGGCAGGCGGGATGCTGGAAATATTGTAAGCTTTATGGCCGAAGAAAGAATGGCGGATTCAGATGGCGAAATATGTGCGGTGTACTGCATTCGGGATACAAGATAGATTTCAGTCGCGCTCGCTGGAATGG